CACGGCGCTGGCTCGGAGCAGAGGCAGGCAGACGTGTCCTGGAGCTGCAGGTTCACCCGTCACTCTGACGGCTCTGGCACCGCACACGTGGGCGGGAGTTGTCCATGGGGGTCACTCTGCCGGCGAAGCTCCATATGCTGGCCCCGCTCACGCTGGGTAGAAAGTAAAGACAGTCACAGTCCGCAGGCAAGGAATTCCCCGTGATGACAAAGCCGGGAGGCTGCTCTGCGTGCCCAGGACAGGCAGTGCTGCTGTGGAGCTGGCAGGGCAGCTGGTTAACCTTTAAACTGTCCGATAAATACAATATTTGGTGCACCAGGAGCGGGAATTCCGTATGTGACCATCTCACCCACGAGTGTCAAGCCACGCAAGCTTGACTCAAGCAGAAATGCGGGACCGAAGGCCAAGCCAGAAGACTGCTGCTCTCCTGAGACGGAGGGGAACAGAAGTCCCAGCGCAGGCAGCCATGAGCTGGGGGATCCCCAGCACGGCAGGGGGGACCTGGACCTCCGGCGTGCCGCAAACACAACCGGGTCTGAGATAGGTGGGGGCAGATGGGGTGCTGAAGGGGAACCCCAGCCACGACAGGACCCCAGGGCAAGGGATGGGGCAGGGAGGGATGCCTGGAGCCTGTGAAGGGACCGAAAAATAGGCAGCTCCACTCTTACTCAGATGTGAATCACAGAATCACAGAATGGCAGGGGTTGGCAGGGACCTCTGTGGGTCACCCAGCCCAACCCCCTGCCCAAGCAGGGTCACCCAGAGCAGGCTGCACAGCACCGCGTCCAGGCAGGTCTGGAATATCTCCAGAGAAGGAGACTCCACAGCCTCCCTGGGCAGCCCGGGCCAGGGCTCCGTCACCCTCAGAGGGAAGAAGTTCTTCCTCGGGTTCAGCTGGAGGGCGTCGGTTTGTGCCCATTGCGCCTTGGCCTGTCACTGGGCACCACTGGAAAGAGTCTGGCCCCGTCCTCCTGACACCCACCCTGCAGATATTTATCAGCATTTCTAAGGTCCCCTCTCAGCCTTCTCTCCTCCAGGCTGAACAAGCCCAGCTCCCTCAGCCTCTCCTCGTCACTTCTGCCATTGCAGAACAAGCTACATAGGTAAAGTTGTACAATTTCTCCGTTAGCATTTCCTAGTTGAGCTTCCTGTCTGCTCCTCGCCCAGCTCTCTGGAGGGGGTGGCAGGGGTGGATGGAGAGGGCTGCAGGGCCAGTGGCTGCTCTGCGCGGGAGGTGGACGCTCGCCTCTGCTGCAAGGCGGACCGGCGGGCGCCAGAGCCGCGGAGGAGGCAGGTCCCGCGTCCAGCCTGTGCGGAACACACGCTATGGACTTGCTGCTGCCAGCACGTTGTTTAGGGTGTGTTCTGGAAAATATGAAATGGAATTAATGCGATGAATTTAAAAGAAATTGAGGCAATTATTTTTCCAGCCTGTTCAGGAATGCTGATGCTTTGCAGCTGTGGATGTGATGCAAACCCTTCCTTCCGGTCCCGTTTCG